AAATAGCTAGTAAAGGTAGGGCAGAGCTGAGATTCAAATAAACACGTTTCACCCTGGAGGACATTATGCTGGGTGAAATAAGACAGACACAGAAAGACACATGCTGTGTGATCTCACTTCTATGTGGAATCTAAAAAAGTCAATTCACAGAAGCAGAGAGTAGAATGTTAGTTGCCAGGGGCCAAAGGGGACGGTGAGAGAAATAGGGAGATGACAGCCACAGAGTACAAGCTTTCAGTTGTAAGATGAATATGTTCTGTACTTCATAGTGATGATACTGTGTCGATTACCTGAAATTTGCTGAGTGGATCTTGTGTGTTGTCACACGCATACACACACATTCACATACACACAAAATGGTAACTTAGTGAGGTGATGAATGCATGCATTAAGATGATTATGGTAATCATTGCACAATATATACATACATCAAATCATTATGTTGTAAACCTTAAATATATATATGTGTATGTGTGTATATATATTTTAGATGGAGTCTCTGTTACCTGGGCTGAAGTGCAGTGGTGTGATCTCGGCTCACTGCAACCTCTCTCTCCTGGGTTCAAGTGATTCTTGTGCCTCAGCCTCCTGAGTAGCTGGGATTAAAGGCATACACCACCATGCCAGGCTAATTTTTGTTTTTTGTTTCTTTGGATATAGAGTTTTGTTCTTGTCAGCCAGGCTGGAGTGTAATGGCACGATCTTGGCTCACTGCAGCCTCTTCCTCTTGAGTGCAAGCGATTCTCCTGCTTCAGCGTCTCGAGTAGGTGGGATTACAGGCGCCCACCACCATGCCAGCTAAGTTTTTGGATTTTTAGTAGAGATGGGGTTTTGCCATGTTGGACAGGCTGGTCTCGAACTCCTGATCTCACGTGATCCGCCCACGTTGGCCTCCCAAAGTGTTGGGATTACAAGCATGAGCTACCACACCTGGCTGTGAATATATATAATTTTTTTGGTCAATTTTTCCTCTATAAAGCTGGGGGAGAAAAATCAAAACCCAACAAGATAAATATAAGAGGTTTTCATTTTGAAATTCGGGCTATTTCCTGACGCCAAGGTTCTTTGCATTGGTCCATACCACCTCTCAAGTCTGTTTTCATGGGTTTGTCTCAGGCACCTCTGAAAGAAGTGAGCTACCTCTAAGCCTGAATATCAGGAGTAAAGTCTGAGACAATTGTAGGCGCGTTCTGGGTGCGTGAGACCTCAGACTTCGACGATGAGTCATATCAGTAGTTCATGAATTCTACCAGTTTATGAATTCCACCAAGGAAGGGTAAGTCCCGGCCATTTGAAAACAAATCAGCATGATGTAATTTTTCCTTTGATTGCTCAGATGAGCAAATATGTGTAAAACCCCTCGGTAAGCCCTAAGACAATTTTATGAAAGGAAACGGATTTATTGTAGTTCATTTTGGTCTTAGTTGCTTGTTTTTCAGTCTTCAGTTGGAGCTATTCTGGAAAAGTGTCATTCCAAATAGACATTGTAATTAAAAGACTATAATAATTTCTATTAGGATCATATCTATTTAGAGTTTTGTCCCAAAAGGATTTATCTCACACAATAGCAGAGTGAAACTCATTAAGATTTAAAGAGAAACAAGAGGCCAGGCGTGGTGGCTCAAGCCTGTAATCCCAGCACTTTGGGAGGCCGAGGCGGGTGGATCACGAGGTCAAGAGATCGAGACCATCCTGGTCAACATAGTGAAACCCCGTCTCTACTAAAAATACAAAAAATTAGCTGGGCATGGTGGTGCATGCCTGTAATCCCAGCTACTCAGGAGGCTGAGGCAGGAGAATTGCCTGAACCCAGGAGGCGGAGATTGCGGTGAGCCGAGATCGCGCCATTGCACTCCAGCCTGGGTAACATGAGTGAAACTCTGTCTCAAAAAAAAAAAAAAAAAAAAGAGAAACAAGAAATAGTGAGAGGCTATACCTAAAAATACTTGTGTGTTTTTTTCTTATTGTTGTTGTTGTTTTG